ACTGCTTCTATTATTTGTGGTCAAAACCAAAATATATACGTTACCAGTATCTATATCCACAGTTCTGTAGTATAAAACAACGTGCAAAAAGAGTCGTTATTGACTTTCCTGCTAAAAAGGTTTAGAATTATATGCCCGATAAACCGCCTAACGTGCCGCCTATGTCATTAGTGTACAGTTTGACCAGAGAGAACACTAAACTTATGTATCCTTAACCAGGCGTAGTATCTCGTAGGATACGAAACAAAATTGCCGCCAAGCTGGCCGGCCTGTAAAATCAAAACTAAGCAAAACAAAATTTTGTTTTTCTCGTTTTAACCAACTTCAAAAAAGGAGAAGGTTCTCAATTCGTCGCGATATTTTTTTTTATGTATGTTCAGCGATAATTCTTTAACAGGGTGTCCGATTTCAATGATTCTTTTTTTGTTAGAAAGGGGGTACTTCAGGGGTGGTTCCATATAAATTTGGTCAAAATCTAATAATTGGGTTCATGAGAAATTTCTCAAACTCTTCATTTTTCATGTATGTTTAGCGATAATGCCTTACCTCCTTGTCCTATTTATATGATTCTTTTTTTGTTAGTAAAGGGGTACCTCAGGGGTGGCCCCATATAAATTTGGATAAGATGTGGTGACGGCATCTGCACGTTTTTGAAGTCGGTTTTTTAAATTTTTAATTTCTAATACTTGTTGCGTTATTTTGTTCAAATATACACCAAATATGTTAAAAAAAAAAAATTTATCCCGTGAATCTGTTCTTGCCAAGAATAGGGTTAATAACACTTAATAATTTTACAGTTGTACGAAATAAGTACATATTATTTAAGTTACATGTACTTTCTTGTCTCGTGTATACAAAATTGTCACAGTTATATTATCCTGTATATTTTAAAATCTTATGGTTACATAAAAAGTCATTAAAGTCTTTTAAGAAAGGTCTCATTTTAATAATTTAAAAATAAATTTAATATTGCTGGATGGCTGCATGGCTCACCCTGTATAAAAAGTACACATAGCAAAATATTTTTAACCTTAAAATTCTAAATGGTTAGATATTAACCTAATGAAATAATTTCTCTGTGGCGCAACTCCAGAATTATTGTTCGTAAAAATATATTGTGATTTATTCGTGAAACATTCTGTATCTTCAAATATGTTAAACCGCCCCATGGACATATGACCAAAATTATATTAAACTTATATATGACTTTAACACCATGTATCTAGAATATTGATCATAGTATCGGATTTAAAATTCATACCTCTTAAAACAATGTTAAAATTATTATACACTGAAAAAATGGTTACATTTGACCAAGGAAATTTTGGTTTTTGTACTTTTTTTAAAATAGAATACCTTTCAATAAAAAAATCACCTTGTATATTTTTAAGCTTAGATGTACACATATTTTAATAATATTATCTTTCCCAAAAAGCACTTCATTAGATTAAATTTAATTAGGACTATGGGCCATGTGGCCTCCCCCACCTCGACCTTTTCAGATCTATTGTAGATATCCTTTAATCATTGTTTAGAGTACCTTGTCTAATTCGATCTTTTGTAGTAGACTCCATAGACTGGGAAGTAGTTCTCCGGTATAGCTAGTTGCCTTTGGTTTTTCTTCTCCAAGTGTAAGGAATCTCAGTCTTACTAGACCTTTGCAGTAGCACAATACATGTTCTGCCGTTTCCTCTTCTTCTTGACAGAATCGGCACAAGGCCTCTTCTGTCAGACCGATATTGAACATATGTTTGTTAAGCCTACAATGCCCTGTTAATAGACCTACTTGTATTTTAGTATTTTTCCTATTAAGGCTTAGTAGATGCTCGGTGAGTTTAGACGATGGTCCTTTTAAAAACTCTTTGGCCTGTCTCTGTCCTGGTGAGTTTTTCCACCACTCCTGAGATTTTTTAAACATCCACTGCTTTGTGCATATTCTGATAGTTGTTTTTATTACACCACAGAAGGGTTCTGGGCCAATAAGAGCATTTGAGGCTCCTTCTCGGGCTAGTAAATCAGCCTCTTCATTGCCCTTGTGTCCCTTGTGGCCTGGTACCCAGGCTAATGTTAGTCTGTTTTGACTACCCAGCTCTGTTAGGGCTTCCAAACAGTCCCACACAAGCTTTGAGTGTACCTGCATGGAACTGAGTGCTTTTAACGTCGCTTGACTGTCTGAGTATATGACAATGGTTTTTCCATTTACCTTCTGTCTTAATACTTCTTTTGCGCAGTGATGTATTGCTGCTATTTCTACCTGGAATACTGTCGCATGTTTACCTAAGCTTAGTAATATTCCTGACTTTGGCTTGGTACTATATATACCTACTCCTACAGGGTTATTCTACTAAATTTATAGCCCGGCTAAAAGTTTATAGCCCGGCTACAAGTTGGATTTTGAAGTTAGGAACATATAAAGTTCAAGCCAAAATCCAACTTGTAGCCGGGCTATAAATTTAGTAGAATAACCCTGCTGAACCTTCATGGGTTTTGGAGCCGTCTGTATACCAGGTGAGATCTGCATGAATAGGAGGTGCTCCCGTCCACGCTTCCCTGTCTGGTATACTTACTTGTTATTGCTTTTGGAAGCTATACTTTGGAAGCATTTCGTCTGAAGGCATTCCCATTATTTAGTCGTTCTCCAACTCTTTATATAGCTCGCTGCAGTCGAGTCCATGCAAACTGCTTATGGGCGATGAACCTTTGTGCAGTCTGTATGTGACAGACCTGGCTTCGCCTTTAATGAATATATGTAGTGGTGTTAGGTTTAGCATGACTTCTATAGCTGCTGTTGGAGTCGTTCTCATAGCTCCCGTGGTACTCAGGCATGCTTACCTTTGAATATCATTGAGCTGTCGAATGGCTCCAGCTTGCCGAGTCTTTGGCCACCATACCACCGACCCGTAGGTTATCATCGGCCTTATCACTCTGGTATATAACCACAGGGACATTTTTGGTTGTAATCCCCAATTTTTTCCACACAACCTTCGACATAAGTTGAAGGACGTTGTGCTCTTTTGGATGACTTTTTGCAAGTGTTGATTCCATATTAACCTGTGGTCAAAGATGACTCCCAAGTATTTGGCCTCTTGAGCGAATGGAATCTTCACTCCTTTCAGTACTGGTGACTTTAGTCCTGTTGGTACTTTTAGTTTTGTAACGTTGACTATTGTGGTTTTGTGAGGGTTTACTGTTAGTGTCTCCTCTCTGCACCACTCGTCGACAATGTTTAGAGCGGTTTGTGTGCGCTCCGATATTGTACCTGCGAACTAGCCTCTTACAACGATCGCCAGGTCATCGGCATACCCTAGGCAGTAAAAATCTCCAGATATTAGCCTTTTTATAAGTTCGTCCACTAGGACTGACCAGAGCAGGGGTGATAGTAGTCCTCCCTGGGGGCAGCCCCTGCCTGCATTAGCTGTCAGTGTAGCTTCGCCTAGAGATGATGTTATTACCCTTTCTTCTAGACTGGCTTTTATCCACTGACATAGGACTACTGGTACCCCTTTTATTGCTAATGCGTTAATTATAGATCTTGTTTGAGCATTACTAAAAGCTCCCTCAATATCTACGAATGTTGCTACTGCCATTTCTTTATCCTCCAGGGATTTTGACAATAGCCTGTTAAGATCATTCAGGGCCAAATCGGTTGACTTTCCTAGCTGATATGCATATTGACGGTCGCTGAGAGGATTTTCTCTCAGTATTTCGTCTCGTATATCTATCTATTAGTCTTTCTAGCGTTTTCAGCATGAATGACGATAGACTGATTGGGCGGTACGACTTTGGCGTCATGTCATTAAACCTTTCTACTTTAGGGAGGTATATGACTTTCACCTTTTGCCACTTCATAAGTACAAGGTTTTGAATTAATCCTTAAACAAATTAATTAATATTGTGGTTCTCTCTATAAAACACCTTGTATAAAAAATGTGTTGAGTGGTAATTTTTAACCGACTTCAAAAAAAGGAGGAGGTTATCAATTCTTTTTTTGTTAGAAAGGGGGTACATCAGGGGTGGTCCCATATAAATTTAGTCAAAATCTAATAATTGGGTCCATGAGAAAATCCTCAATCTCTTCATTTTTGATGTATGTTTAGCGATAATGCTTTACCACTTTGTCCGATTTATATGATTCTTTTTTTTGTTAGAAAGGGGGTACTTCAGGGGTGGTCCCATATAAATTTAGTCAAAATCTAATAATTGGGTCCATGAGAAAATCCTCAAACTCTTCATTTTTGATGGATGTTTAGCGATAATGCTTTACCACCTTGTCCGATTTATATAATTCTTTTTTTGTTAGAAAGGGGCTACTTCAGGAGTGGTCCCATATAAATTTGGTCAAAATCTAAAAATTGGGTCCATGAGAAAATCCTCAAACTCTTCATTTTTTATGTATGTTTAGCGATAATGCTTTACTACCTTTTCCGATTTATATGATTCTTTTTTTGTTAGTAAGGGGGTACCTCAGGGGTAATCCCATATAAATTTGGTTAAGATGTGGTGATGGCATCTGCACGTTTTTGAAGTCGGTTTTTTTAAATTTTTAATTTACACTTGTTAAAAATGTGCTTCTCTAACATCACAATAGAATTAATGAGATTTTGCAAACATCTACCGTTATTCATTTGAGAATCACCCTGTAATTAAAAATATTTTTAATTGTTTGTACTAATGTATTACTAAAACATCAGTAAACGTATATATGCAGCAGAAATTCAATCTAGCTCTAAAAAACTGGGTAATTTTCAAATTTAACTAATATAAGGATTGAGTTGAGCCCATCGACACTTTTGTTTACTAAGTTGAGTACAACGACATACCAAAATTTCAAAAAATTTGACAAATCGTCACTTTACATAAGAAAAGTGCAGGGTCCTTTCTTTAAGTTTTACACTCAAAAACTTTTAATATATTTCTCATAGAGCCCCATTTTGTTGTAATTCCCTCTCCATCATTTCCTTCTATTAATATTAAGACTGCAAATTTCATAACATTTTTAGGTTTTTGGTGTACAAAATTCCTACTTTAAAGGTTGATAAAGACAACATAAGACACGGACATGGCTATATCTATTTGACGTCAAAAGACGATTCATGGAAGTTTTCTGCTATTTCAATAAACAACTCAAAATCAATTATTGGGAATACGTTGTCAGACTTATACAAAGACAAGGTGACATTCTAAATTCATCATAACTCTATAAATATGCTGTTTTTTTTTGGCTTGGGCACTTGCCATTCAGCCAGGCGCGAAATATATAAGTTTAAATTGCATTATCACTCTAAATGCATACATTCAATCATACACACGTTTGTTCTAAGCAAGAAAAGAAGAAAAATATGCTGTTAAACAACTATAATTCTTTTTACTTCTTATCTTACTATATCTTTTTTCGTTTCCTCTCTGAAAAATAAAGAATACTATTAAAAACTACAAGACTTTAGTCCTTAAATATTCTTAATATTGACAATCATTACAGAGTAGTCTCAGTTATATCCTCTACAACGATGAACCACCAAATGGCCAAACCTCTTCTATCAAAGGACATACCAAGGGAGTGGTAGCTGCCGACAATAATGGAGGATTTTGGATGATACATTCTGTACCTAAATTTCCAGAAATATCAAACAGTTATTCATTTCCACAGTCAGGAAGCGTTTATGGTCAAACATTTCTATGTATTTCTATGGATTTGGAAAATTTAGATAAAGTTGGTAAGTCAATACATAAAAATTAAATCATTTCTTTCAAATTATAGACAAATAGTGTAAAGAAAGTGTGCTCAACGTGATCAATTCAAGAGCTTCTTGGAATGGTTGCAGCACTTGGTGTGGACTAAGGATTCAGTACAACTACAATACCCTAAATTAGTGATGACGTGAATATATTTCCACTGACAATTAGAGTGACAGTATTCTTTTGAGTGCCTTTTGTTCGTTTTGTTTACCTCAATTATATTGTGTTTAAACTTTTATAAAAATATATTTCTAGAGTAATTAGACAACATGCATTAATTATATAATCATTTACTATCTAACTGCATATCTTTAAATTACTTTTTATGACCTGCAAACGATATTTAATAACAAAATAAAAATAATTAAAACGTATATGTCAAATCTTGTTAAAAGTTTGGTTATAATTAACTGTCAGTGAAACCAAAATTTTGTCATATTTTAATGACGTATTATTGTTCTCTATAATGTAGCTGTTATCTCTATATTATTCAACCTCACTGCTTTGACTGTGATTATTTTGTCCATCTATCATATGCTAACCAATGTCAAGATTTATTCCTCATCCTCAACACATTCTCTAGGCCTCCAACTTCAGTACAACGAACCAGACATCTACGCACAAAATATTTTGCCAGGCGTTAAATCTTCGGCTCCAAATTTGGCAGACGCTGCTGCTAACGTGACGGTCAACACATCTCCCTGGTACCATATCTCATACTTGATGTCCAAATTGCGTACACAGTTTTGGTCGTTTGCGAAATCAAAGCAGTTTGGCAAGGAACTGTACGTTGATCTAGTTGCTCCACAACTTCGTGAAGATCTAGACGTTGAAACTTGGCGCAACGGAGCTGGAAAGTTGGCATCAAATTGCAGTCAAAAATTCAAGTAAGATTCTTATTCCAGCCTTAGTGGCCTATATTTATGTTATAAGAGCTTATGTGAAACAACCAATGACGAAAAACTTCTAGACCAATTTTGTTTACAAAAATCGAATTGCAAACATAGTTGTCAAATTATTATGAGTATGTGAGAGTCTTGTTGCAAGGATTGTTTATGGTTATATTTTGGTTATTATTATGGTTATATTTTGATTGACTAAATATAAGGCTCTAAAGCACACAAAAGGTTCTTAAATATTCAGATATAGAAGTTATAAAATTAGCAAGGCTATACAAGGGCTATTCATATTTTCAAATCAATTGCTGCATCCTCAAAATGTTTCATATTCTTCAAAGTATTTAGGAGGTTTTCTGCTTCAAACCAGGTGACTTTCTTCACATGGTAAAATATTTCTAGGAAAAGATTTCGAACATTAGTTCTCTAAGAAAGTAGATATCATTTCACTTGATTTAACTAAGTTATCAGTGGATGAAAGCAACAAATTGGGAGTCACGGAACATGAGTAGAAGAGGGGAACGACCAATTAACATCTTCAAATAAACCATTTTAGGTAATCTTACATATGAACATTCAGGATTATTTTCCAAGAGTTAAATTTCTTTCATAATTGGCTCAAACTTAAAATTACAAACCTTCTTATTTAATAATATTGAACAACCATTAGGAAAGACATTGTGCATTTACTGAACGCCTACAGTGGTTAAACATTCTTTCATGTGGAAATGCATTTATTGCTTTTGTATAACAAAGACTTTATTGTAATAGAGACACAGAACGGTATCGTCTTTCATATTATATCATACTTTTAGCCAACATGGTCATCTCCCCATCAGTGGCATAGTGATATAGTTGGGGGCCTGGGGCGGCTTTAGCCGAGGGGCCTATATATATGCCACACATACCATATATACTATTATGTACAAATATATAGTGTTCTACATAGCTACTAATATATAAAGGCACAATTGTCTAACAGGTACAATAATAACAAGACGTATGGAACTTAATATGATATCTTAATGTGAAATTACCCATTACAATGTTGAACAGCAATGAGAAAAAATAGATACACAAACTTACCAGAATAATAAAAAGAAGAAACAAATTAAAAAAAAAATTATGAGCCTTGAGTTCTGAAAACTGTTGGATTAAGCCATCAAAACAATCTCATTTTCAATGGAAAATATAGCTAAGCTTGGGCTCATTGTAGAAAAACTTCTCTCACAAGAAGCCACAGACACACAAAGAGTAAAAAACAGTTTAAGTTCCTCAGTTATGTTTGGTAACGATTTACGCAAGTCCATTTCAATAATAAACTTCAACATTTGCAATGACGTCCATGAAACTGCATCATCAATTTTTATTCCAGAAGCCTTCAGATGTCTTCTTAGACTCTTCACTTCTGGTAACATTTCTTCTTCCTCTAAATCATCAAGAGTATTTGTGAACTGATGTATATAAGATACCAGGTTTTCATTAATTACAGTTACGAGATTTCTTTAACTTTTTTTCCTGACTTCATCTTTTTAACTCGGGTGTGATTTCTGCTTTCGATATCAATGTCAAATTTAGCACAAGACGTAGTTGCATGTTCCAGGGCTGTTTGGATCAGTTCTTCCCGACTCTCTTCTAAAAACATTTTTAAGCTTCTCAACTTCAATACCTTCGATTTAGAGGTATTTATGGTTCACTTTAGATAAAATGTGGTACCATAAGTGCAAGGAACAAAGAAAATTAAAATTACAAATATTTGTTTTCAACACCTCCGCTGCCCCCTTGTATCTAGATTTTCAGAAGCATCACACAACTTGTCTACAGGATCGACCAATTTTTGGAAATTTTTAAATATTGTTTTAATTACATCATGATGAGCAATTCACCTAGTATCACTAAGTCTCTTCGCAGACACTTCAACGATTTCTTTTAGAATATCACATCTATAGATTGAACACGAACACAACTTGTACACACTTTCCAAAGTCCCAAAAAATGTTATACAGACAGAAACACTTCCAAAAGTGTGTAACTAGCACAAATTTAAAGAGTTTTGGCACATGGGACAAAACCCGCTTTTGGATTTAATTCTTTAATTATCATCTCCGGTATGAATGCCTGCCATGGTTGTAGTACCATTGTCATAATCTTGGCTACGACAAAGTTTTAAATCTAAATCGTTCTTTTTAAGCGATTGAATGATCTCTTCTGTGATGTCGCTTGCTTTTTCCCAATAAAGGAAATAAAACCCAGAAATGATTCTTTCACCTCTACTTTCCTGTGGTCAATTTTGAATAGTGAAAACGTCCACGTTAGGCACGGTTGGCGAGAATTTGTTTCTGGTGAAAGGGTGTTAACGTGGTTGAGAGCACTTGAACTGCGAAATGAAACAGCTGATACTGTTGGTGGTGGTAGTAAACTGTTATTATCATGGCGCACAGACGTTCAGAAGTTCAATTCGTAAAAAATTATACAAATAGAAAACATATTTACGATTATAAGTATTTTATTAAATAAAACAAATATAGTTGTCGAACATTCTGGGGCCTTTTTGTTGTTATTTAGAAAACAAAACTTAAGTATTTTCATATTTGAGGCCTACGCCGACGCGGGGCCTGGGGCGGGCCGCCCCCCCTACGCTACGCCACTGCTCCCCATCAATCGTTGCTAAGTTACTTCCGTTTCCAGGCAGCTTATTGTTGGGGTAATCATCTTTAGAATCCTCTCTTTAGCAAATCGTTCATATAGTACATCACAAATCACAACCATCCTAATTATTATAATTTTATATAATTAGTTCCTTATAAATTACTTTTAGTAACTAGAATCTAGTTCTTGGTAACTTTCCAAAAATTATTCTTTCTTACAAAATTAGTTTTCAAATTTTTCATCCTCCTTCATTCTAAAATGTATTTTTTCTCTTCTTTCATCCCCTCTGTAAATTTTTTTTTTAGTTTTACTTGATACATTTTTGGACCTTTTAGTAATTGTGTCTTTATTTATATTTATCTGCCTTATTCAATGCTTTCAACTTCTGCTCTGTATGCCATTGATGTCTTCCTTTTATATATTTAAAAAAAAATGTTTTTAGTGTGAATAATATTAAAACAATAAACATGAAAATAGCTGGTGTCACTTTTAAATCAACTGAAGATCACTCGAAGTGGGCTGTGGCGTCACCAGACAAAACTGGATCATTCAGCTGTGTAGGTGATATCAATAGACAAGTATGTACTTACCTATTTTTGTTAATTTTAAGGATTTTACTTTTCATATAAATCGACCTTGGGATTCAATGTGTTTCGGATATACTAACGTATTTCAATTATTTTGTGATATATAGTGGATGTGTCTCATTAGAACATAAGACGACTAAATGAAAAATGCTAAGTAAAATGTTACTCGTTTCTGAAACACAGGTTGTTAAAGGTCAATACTCAAAAATTATTAATGGCTATATTTTTGTATTACTACCCAGCTACTCAGACAGCAAGTCAATCCATTGGATGTCCATCTGAAGTCCATTGATGGACATATCGGCTATCCAAAGGACGTCCAACATTTTACAGAAAGACATCCAATGGACATCCATTGGACTATATAAATGTCCCACTCCTGGACGTCCATTTGGACTCCATGAAAGGTCCGTATTTGGACTTTTTTTGTTTTGCTTTTGGACAATTTATGGACATCTGATACACATCACGCCTACACAATAATTGCAACTCTGGACATATTTTTATTGTCATAAATAATATCAAGCATGCATTGGTTTTATATACACTCCTTTCTGTTAACTTTCTCAGCCATTTTACTCTCAGCAGCAGCTAAAAAAAGACATTCCATTTTATTCGAATATTGAATCCTAAATCAATCTTTTAATAAACGCCTGATCAGACAAAACTGAAATGTAAAACTTTTAAATAAAATTAACTAATATGAAAATATGCATTGACTAATGTAATTTACCTCTATATTTACATATAAACAAAAAACTGCTCATTGTTTCTTTAAATTACCCTTTTACTTTCATACCGTCATATAATGTGAATTCTTTCGTGAGGGTATTAGAAATTATGGAAACAAAACATCTTTTTATATGTTCGTACATGTCCTTGTCCTCTGGTTTTGGTAACTGCTGAATCTAAAATTGCAATAAAAATATTTATTTGTGAACATTAAAGAGAAATAACTAATGAAACTACTTTCAATGAATTATTATTAAACGTTACAAAACGATTCTATTTTATTTAATGAAAGTAAAACTTGGAGCTTCTTTAAAAATATTTGTATCTTCTAAATAGCCTTTTACTTCTGCTAACGTCTCATGCAGTATAAATAGAAACTTGAATTTTTTTCTTCTCTTGGAGGGTTTTTCACCTCTATTAGTTACAATAATAATTGTGTTGACATCATCTCGAATTTGCAGCATATTAGCTTTTAAACGGCCATTTTCTTAAATAGTTACTTCATTTTTTAAAAGTAAATTGAAAATATAAAGTTTAAACATAATTGTTCAGTTAAATTGATTAAAAAAAAAACGAATTCCTTCTTAATTTTTAGATTTTTAAATAATTTTGTGTTATACTTATTTTCTTACCAGATAACAGTTATCTATAGGCCGATCTTGTCCTTTACTTTTGTATCTTGTCAACAATAGCGAAGAGGAGAAAAATTAATCGATTTATTTTAATTAAAACCTAATTGTAAATAATTAAATTATACTAGAAGAATTATAATAATTTATTTTAAGTTTGTAATTTTTATAGTGTCTATCATGGACATTTTTTGGACATCCATTGAACTTCTAAATGGGTATATCCATTGGAATAACGGATAATGGATGTCCAATGGACATCCATATGAATTTCATGTACATCCAGAACATTATTTGGACAAAATATTAACGTCCAATGGACGTCGTGTGGTGTCTAGGTACTTGGTATAATTTTACTAAATTCGTATAAGTAACGTTTTTGTTTTTAACAGTGGCGTACGACTTAGAGATGAATAACACCTTTATCCCTACGCTACTGTCCAAAAACTTAATTGGACTGTAATTTAAAATTTTTAATAATTAATGCATCTTCTTGTTGGGAACTTGTACAAAAATTCAAAATTTTAAAATAAATTAAAATAAAGAATATCCACCTTTAAGTGCAAATATCACTTTATAAGTTCCCAACACGAGTTAATGATTTATTTGAAAAACATATAAAAATATCAACAAATTTAAAATTATAGATCAAATAAGTTTTTGGAGTGTGGCGATAAGTTTAGAAGGGATGAAGACGGTATTTACCCAAGCTGTACGCCACTGGCAAAGCTAATTTAACTGATTTGATAATAGGAGTATTCAGAGGGATGGGTGTCTCAGTGATAGAGTCTCTGCCTGCAAAAATATTGTTAGGAATAATAATTTTAAACACGTTATCTACAAAAAATATTATTATAATGCTGCTGAGCAGGTACCGCTGGATTTATCCCCGGTGTTATAAGCCAAGGAGCATTATCTCCTAATAATAAATATTCTTCTCCAACTATTCTTAAATTAGTCATAAACATTGGCGTTAAGGGAGTGAGTGGCTCAGTATTAGAGTCTCTGCCTGTGGATCCAAGGGTCCCAGGTTCGAATCCCACCGTTGGCCGGGATTTTTTCATTTAATTTAATTATTTAAAATTTATTTTGATGCTTTGGTAGGATTCCCCACTCGACCATTCCCTGTTGGGTTCTAATTAACAGTGCTGTTCCTAAAGCAGAGCTGGGAAATAGTAACAAAGCCTACACAGAACATGAGGCTAATAACCTTAGTAGTTGATACCAATAACACCAAAAAAAATAGGCGTATTCTGTAACACTGTAAACGTTTGTCGAACTTTGTAAAATTATACTGAGTAATAAAAAAATTATAGTCAATAATAATTTTACAATTATCAACTTAAACACCTTGTATTTTACCAACTTAAACACCTTGTATTTTACCTAAGCATGTTTCTTATTTTTATTCAGGTAAATCTTCAGTTTCTATTCTTAAAGGGTCACCCTGTATAACTTTTGAAATCAAAATATGAAAATTAATGTTTTTTATTTTATTTTAGGAACACCAAAAATTAAGAGGGGGTGGAACAGTGTGTTTTAGCAATAATAAAGTCATGAAATTATTTCAAAGTCTAATAGGATCTGTAGAGGATTGCTAAATAAGTATTTTTTGCAACAAGTTTCCGTTGAAGTATTACTACAAAAAAATTAATTTTAAATAAATAAAAAATATGTTATGAATAAATATTTTACTGTCTTTTTTTATTGATACAAATATGTACTTTTTACAACAAAACGAATACATTCCTTGCTGCCATCTACAGAGTTTTATTTAAAATTATTTAGGTGTGGTGATAGATATCTGTACAGCGATTATGTATCTTTGATAAAACTTTAAAAGATGGCGCCACCAGTACTATATTAACTAAAATCTTTTAATTAATTTTTTATGAATTAAAATCGTATAAAAATGAAATAAGGTTTTTTAATTTCATCATATTTCAGTAAATTATAAGGTGATATTCAAAATTCATTGACATTTTATGATAGTATACGTAATAAAAGAAATATGCCTATATCGTCGATACAATGCCAAAACCACGAATGTGTAGTTTTTAGAATAAGTATATTCGTAACCATGGAGGAAGGATAATTATTCGTAACTTAAGAAGCAACTGCTAAATTCCCACTTTCTTAAACTAGACATCGTGTCTAGAAGAGGGTTGGACTTTCAAGGCACATTCGTGACTTTTGCATTGATATAGTGTGGAGCGTCTATATGGCTAACAACTAGGTGAGGGGCTGAATCAGTAGATCTACTTGGGGTGTTTGCATGCTGGTTTGGGTGTAGTGGTGTTGTTTTAATTCCAATTACAACAACGCCTTATAAATATATTTTTTATAGCAATAATACATAAATTAAGTGCCTTTCCATTTGATTATTCTGATAACACAAAGTAATAATTTCCTTATCAAATCCTTATCTAAAAACACAAAGTAGTCATTCTCTAATTATTTTAATAAAATATGTACCATAAAATGTCAAAAATTTAATAATAATTATGTAGATTAAAACTTTAATTTTATAAATTGTAATTAAAAATGTGTAGCAATCATGGCCGCCGCCACACGAGAGCAAAGGTGCTTTTACCCCCCTGGATTTGTAATTTTGCATTTTGCCTTATGACTATCAACTATTGCATACGGTGTTTTAACCCTGTCTATAAAACGTGTCCCCTGAATAATTTTTTTTAACGGTGCCCATGATAGCAATATGTTATATATTCATATAAAAAGTATACTATTCAACTCCCAAGAAATGCTTATTTCCTACTCAAATATCACCTTCGTAGAAAATGAGAACCAATCCTTGCTTGTTTAACAATAAACTACTTATGAGTATTTTAATATATTTTGAGTTTTCAATTTTAATGGCAGCAAATATATAAAAATCTTGCCTTTGTTCATAAAGTTTAATTAAAGAAATTGAATGATTATTACTTATTTTGACACCTATTGGTTCACATTGTAAGTTAATAAAGAATTAATATTAAAAGGGCTGATAGTTTTCCACAAAAAATCAAAGAGAATAAGATATGAATGCAGTTGCTAGTGCAAATATTTATTTTGTTCTATGCACGTGTGTTTTAAATAATTTCTTTGTAGTGTCTTGATACATTATTTTGTTAATATTCTCCTATAAAAACCATTTCAAGCATAAACTCTAAAAGATAAACTTCGAATTGACTGACGTTGTAATTTAATATAACTTCATTATTTATAGAATGAATATAAGAACCTGCCAGAAAAATTCATGATGAAATGAATTTATAAAGCGTAGAATTTTCCTAGTATCCTAATTTCCAAAATTGGGCAATATACCGATCTTGATAAAACCATAATCATTTCCTTTATATTGTCAAAATATTTTGATATACCGAGAAACAATGAACCCGAAGATTTTTCTTTGTTTATTATTTATCCAGGTAACATGCGCCTTTTTGAATTGCAACATTATTACAGAATACAGCAAAACAAAGTTAATAACCAAAGGAGCAATATTCGGATGTTTTAAACAAAGAGGTTTGTAAAAATACCTGACCTAATCAATTATTAATACGTTTTAATTTATATTTTAGAGACAGTTCTTTTATCAAAATGCTTAATGAAGAATTATCTACAATTTTTGGTATATGATCTAAATAAACCTTTTGACTCTTTCGAAAATGGTTTGATAAAACGAATAAATCATTGGGGCGTGATAATAGATGGCGATTGCAACAATTTCAGTCTGATTGTAGATGAAGTAAGTAAATAAATTCTTATGTTCTTCATCCAAAGAAAGTTTGAAAAATCATCAATCTTTATAAAAATTATCTGCAACAGTACACCGATGATGGAGTAGCCACCTGGATCGTCAGATATTATTACTTTAGACTTTTGACTTGCCCGATATCTGAATTTGATAATGGACTGTAATAGTTCAATTTATGCAACCAGTTACGAAAGGCCTTATTTTAAATAACAAATGAATATTTGTGACACGAGCAAAGTGACTTGGACTCCAGTACGTGCTCCCTCAGACTAAGCAATCCTTCCCATACATTATGATAAAGAGGTTGATTTTGAAAGATGTTCTTTGTTGCCAAAAAGAAAAGGTAACGCAACCCATCTTGAAGTTTTAAGGCAGCTTTTCCAGGGTTTGGTAGCTTACCTTAAAGTTCTGGCAATCAACCAAACTTCTTCCGGAACACAGATGCCAGATCTCGAGCGTAGTTGATGCTGGCGGAAGTTCTAAGGTCCAGTATTTAAGAATCGTAAGCAGGTATTGTTGTTGCTGGGTTGTAACACCATATCTTGCTTTTCTGATACCTCCATTTGCTCCCATAAATTCTTTAAAGACAATGTCAGGTGTTTCTTGGAACTGGTTTAATTATTATTTTTTCTCATGGTCACCCTCAAATGGCGTCAGTGTCAGATACCTTCAGTTTACATCATTAATTTTTTTCCTAATGAGGTACGGAGCTTCCCAAAACCTCTGAAGCTTTGGATAATAACGCTTCTGTCTTTTTGGGTTATGGAGCCAGACTTTATCGCCTTCCTTGAGTGACTCGGGTATCTATCTATCTATCTATCTGAATTAGGGCGTGGTTCAAAGACCACTTGTACTGAAACTTTAGGATTATTGTACCCCTTACAGTTTCTCTCCCATCAGATTGATTTTCTTGATGAATTCAAGAATATGTCTGATCGGCGCTTTCGCGATTTCTTCAGGTGCCGGATATTGTACCCCAAAATACCATTTCCGTTCCCATTTAAGGTTCCTACAGTGGCATAGTATGTGAGTAGGAGTTTCGTCCTTCTCTTCACATATTCTACATAGGGAGTCATCAGATATCCCTAAGAGATAGGTGTCTTCTAAGGCCGCAGTGTCCCGTAAGGAGTCCTATTACGGCCTTGAGTTCGCTTCTGCTAAGGTTTAGCAGTTTATTTTGTCTGCTCGTGGATGGCCCTTCTATAAATCTTTTGTAAGTCCAGGAAGTTCCAAACAGAGCCTATGTTGTTCTCTATTTATTTGTTTTTTTAACACCCATTTAACATGTTGGTATGAGATACCAGATGTGGGTTCTGGTCAAATAAGAGTTTTTTCCGCTCCCTTCCTTGCTAGGAGGTCTTTTTTCTCGTTTCCAAATACACCCTCATGTCCTGGCACCCATTCAAGGGTGCCAGAGCCTGGAAGGACTGTTGGCAATCAAATATTGATTTAGATTGTACTTCTACCCTTTTCAGTGCTTTAAGTGCCTGACTGTCTGTCATGATAAAGATCCTCTTATCTCTAAAAGAGTCATTTAGCATGACTTTGGCCAGGCATTTATGCTGTTACTTCAGCCTGAAAGACTGTTGTCAGTAACCCCAGGTTCAGACTAATTGTCCTCCTTGAGTTCACATGGTAGATCCAAGCACCTGTGCTGTTTTTCATTTTCGAACCGTCTGTATGCCAGATTGTTTCATTTTGTTTTTCCCTATTTTCCTGGCTTTTGGTCCTTTCTGGTATTTGAATATCAAAAGGTTGTCTGAAATCTCCTATTATTTTTAAATCTAATTCCGATTCTATTTTTTCTACTGAAATAAAATCTAATTCCATTCTACTTAAGAAATCTGCGACTATTACGTTTTTGCTACCTACGTAGAAAACTTTATTAGTAAATTGTAAAATATATTCTATATATCTGAATTGTCTAGGAGATCTATCTGTTTTGGAGAAAATTGCTTTTTCAATTGGTTAATGATCACAAAAAACATATATCTAAAATGTTTGATTGAAAGGTAGATTGCATATAATTAATTCATTATCGAAAACACTATAGTTTAATTGCGATTTGGTTAATTTCTTTGAGAAAAAAGCGATGGGTTGTCTAACACCATCTACTTCTTGTTCAAGAACACCACCTACACAGGAATTACTAGCATCTGTTGTAAGTGATAGAATGGATTCCTCTGAAGGATGTGCCAGAAAAGATGCTTTAATAAGTGCTTCTTTTACTTCATTAAAACTCTTTTCATAATCGATTGGCCAATCTTTTACAATTTTAACTTTATTTTTGTCTAAAAATGTTATAAAATCGTGCAAAGGTGCTAAAATTTGGGCGAATTTTGGAATGAATTTATGATAAAAATGTATCATACCAACAAAACGTTGTAATTGTTTGAGAGTATTCGGCTTAGGAAAATTTTTAATACATTCTATTTTTTCGTCTGAAGGAAATAATCCTTCCGTTGAAATAGTAAAACCTAAGAAATTAATTTTTTCAACTCCAAAAATGCATTTACTTGGTTTAACGTTAACGCCAAAAGAGTGTAATCTTTCAAATAAAATATCCAAATGTTTAAAATTATCAATTGAATTTTTGCTAGCGACTAAAATGTCGTCTAAATAGACGAAAATAAGATCTAAGCCTCAAGTAACTTCGGTAATGAATCTTTGAAAGGTATTGCCAGCGTTTCGCAATCCAAAAGGCATTCTGAGAAATTCAAAAGATCCAAAAGGAGTGGTGATTGCTGTTTTAAAAATATCTTCTTCAGCCATCGGAATCTGGTGATAGGCCCTAACCAAATCGAATTTTGAGAAATTTTTACAACCATGACATTTAACATTAACGTCAGAAATTAAACTTAAAGGAAATCTGTCAGGTACTGTTACTTTATTTAAAAATCTGTAATCTCCACAAGGTCTCCAATCTTTTGAGTCTTTTTTTTGGACCATGTGTAAAGCAGAAGTGATATAAGAAGATGAAGGTCGGCAAATGCCTAATTCAATCATTTGATCGAATTCTTGTTTAGCAATTTGATATTTTTTAGGATCTAAACGTCTAGCTTTACAAAAAGGTAAGTTTCCTTCTGTTATAATATGATGTTTAACGTTATGTTTTGCTGATTAGATTAAAATTCCAGGATATTTTTTAAAAAGTTCCGTATAGTTAGTCTCAACATTAAATAGTTGTTTAGTTTTAAAATTAAAAATTTTTCCAATAGAATCTAATGAAGTTTCACTATCGCGTATTTTAGAATTTTTGAAATCCAAAATTAGGCCAAAATGAGTTAAGAAATCTGCACCTAAAATTGGTTTAGTTACATTTGCAATGGTGAAAAGAAAAGTAAATACTCTTCGCAATCCAATATCGATATTAAGAAATTTTTTTCCATAAGTAGATATTGTATTGCCAGAAGCTGAAGTGAGAATAAACTCTTTATCTATTAATCCTTTGAAAATTTTGTTTGGAACAACGCTAATATCAGCTCCTGAGTCAACCAAGAATTCTAAATTATTCAATTTATCAAAAAGAAATAATCTTTTAGAAGATTTTCCACCTATACTACCTAATGTTGATTTTACTCGTTTTTTGGAATAGAATTTTTGAAAGTTTCGTACATTAAGCAAGAAGGTCCTGCACATTTATATGCGTTCTTCTTATATTTACTGTGATAAAAACATAATGGATCATTTGATTCATTTTCCTTATTGAATTTACGAAAATATCTATTTCTGCTTCTAGATCTTGAAGAAGATCTACAGTAGCATTTTTGATTGGAATCATCACGTGATGTGTGAGAGGATCCCTTATTTTCCAATATCATAATCTTTTTTTCTAATTCATTTTGTTTATTTATTAAATCACCCATCATTAATTTAAAATTTTGATTTAAATCATTTATTGATTTGGAAAGATTTAGAATTTCGGTATTTTTATTAATAGAAAAAACTTCGTCTTTGTTACCAGTATAATTAGAAAAATTAGAAAAATTATCAACTGAGGTTTGAGGCTCCTCAACTGGCAATGTCAGACTGTCTGTAGGCATCATATACGATCAAATCGATAGAAGATACCAACAAAAACACCCCACTTACCCGAAAAAAGGTATCAACCATAAATGGAAATTGCTTTCTTGGGTGGGATATTCAAAATGTCTTGTCGGATGTAGGATTCTTTTCTCCGGTGTGGAATCTTCTGTCGGGTGTGGAAATTTGTCGGGTGTGTAATCTTCTGTCGGGTGTGGAATCTTGTCGGGTGTGGAATCTTGTCGGGTGTAGAATCTTCTCTTGGGGTCTTAGGTTCTAGTCTTGGATGTTATTTCGGGATGCTCCAAAGGGGTTCCTTGTAGATGAAGTGTGCTCGTTCGGAGTCACCAATTGTAGGTAGCAGGAAATCAGAATCTCAGTAGTTAAAAGATAATTTTATTTTTAAATATGAAAAGCGTTATATAAAAATTGTTGTGTCAAAGGTACGTCTTGTCTTGTTAATTTCGAAATCCGTAATCAATCAATTTTTTGTTTCCTTTTTCCATGGTTACCATCCATCGGATAAGTAGGGTGCTAGTGTACGCAGCTATCGACCAAGATCATAATATATGTGATATTATAATGTTACCATCTGACATTGACACTTGACCAACCTCAAATAAAAACTGACTAAGAAACCTTAAAATAAATTGGCGTAAAAGTCAAAACTAAAGGTAAGACTATGTGGTGCTATGATGTCGCCACATAAGTCTTTGCACCTTGTCTAATTTTATGTTAGCTGTTATGCTTTTAGTCTTGTGCCACCATATGACTGATGAGTAAGTTATAACAGGTACTACAACCATAGTGTAAAGCCAGTGCATCATACTTATTTCAAGCCCCCATATGTTTCCTACCATCCGTCTATAGGCCCTTAGTATTCTTATAGCATTTTCTGCTGTTTTTTGTATATGGCTGCAGAAGCTAAGCTTGTTTGTCATCAAGAGTGATTCCAAGATATTTAACCTCTTTTGTCATTTTTAGATGTTGTCCCTACATATAAAGCTCCTTCATTCCTTGAAGGTTCTTTTTTCTTGTGAATGCAACAACGGAGGTTTTTGTCGGGGTGGCTCGGGTATTGTATTGTAAGCCGTTCTGCAGGCTCTGCTTTTTTCCCTGTCGTCTTCAGATCACACTTTCCTAATTCCCGACGCAATTCAGCCACTTTTAAATCAGACAGTATTTTAGCCATTTTTGTCCACTATTTATTTGCAATCCACCGAATTTCCATGGGCTTCACCAGAAACTAACAACATGTCAGTGTATTCACTATTGTTAAAAATCGGCATTGTAAAAAGCAAAATAAATCCAAACCGCAAGCTATTAATCAACGTGCACACAACTAAAATTAAAAATAATCGTCGGGAGTTACATGGGGCCCATTACCAACGTACACATAAATAACGCCGAGTTGCAGATAAAATAGTTTCCTGGAATAACAATGTTTATTATTAATTTTGTTAATTATTTATTATTATATTATTACTAGCAATCATATATCTCGGACGTGTTAGTCATTTGACCTGTAGCAAAAAATGTAGAACATTGTGAATCATGTATTAAAAACTTTGCTAGAATTTAGTTTAATTATTTCTTTCATCACCGACAGCTCGTTAGGGTTATTTTAGGGGTTACTAATATCACACAAAAATTGTGAATTTTCAAAATTTGTATTTGACAAAAGTGGTTTGTTTTGATACGTGGTTAAAATGTTGGCAGTTTCTTCGATATAAAAATCATAACAGTCCTAGAAGACATAATTTTCCAGATATTACAATAATTTCTCAATGTAGACAAAGACCCGCAGGTTAAATAAAATTGCTTATTTCCTCAAAAAACAAAAATATTAAAAGTTTTTCTATACAATTTAATAAAGAGAAAAGTCTACCTATCAGATTTGACATTCTTATACAGTCTGGTTGTTAAGTTTTTGTTGTAACAAGCTTCTGGCTTCACCTACTGTGAAGCAAGAAGTCTGTTTGGCGCTGAGGTAGTGTAATCAGAATAAAGGTACCATTTCGGTAGGCGCGACAGACGACCGCCGACGCGACATACGACCGCCGGCGCGACATACGACCACCGACGCGACCGAGAAGTGTCGCTTCACATCTAAAATATATACAATTATATAAAACACATTTCGCACGGCGCGAAACGAGAAGTGTCGTCAAGATGACACTTCCTGGAGACACTTCTGAATCTGCCTCGGGGAAAGGTTTGCTGCATGTCGCACTTGGGGTCACTGTCCTCGAGCATCGGTTCATTTTGAGGGTGATTAGGATTGAAATTTCTTTCGATCTAGGCAGCGTTGCCAGATTTTGGAACACTAGGGGTAAAAAAAACCGTAGATTTGAACAGTAGATTTTAATACAGGGGGAAATAATTATAATTTGCAGTGTAGTAAATAAAAAAACAAATATATAAGAAACGAAAAATAAACTTTTTTCTACCCAAATTAGAAAGTAAACAAAGAATAAAAACAAATAAAAACATTTTTAATATATACTTAACGCACGGGAAAAAAACCAATGAAAAATAATAAGTACCTACTTTAGATCAGTCTGAATCAGATAATTCAAAATCGTAGTGTTTGGCATATGCATGTTCTTTTTATGATGCCCTATTAATTCTTTGTTTTATTTTAAATAAAAACAATGATTATCTTAATGTTTTTTTATGGAGCCAACCTACAGTAGTGGATGCTTATTACGCTGCTTTTACTGCAGAAAATTTACTAGAGAAAATATTCTTTAACCGTTTGCTGAAGAATGAGGTAAACTTAATATATAATTAAACTGATTTTTATTTAACCTGAAAAATTGTTTGAATTTGTCTTCGTTTAGAGCTAAATAAGTGTTTATTAACACAGAATAAATTCCTTCTGTACTTCTATTTTTATACATTAAATTCATTGGTCGCCTTTTTTTTATATAAAAAATACAACAAGTTGTCATCATCTTCTTCCTCCTCGAGTAACATTTTTAATATTCGTCTTTTGATCATTTTTTTAGAAATAACTCCTAATAATATGTTTCCACAAAAACCACTCTCTCCGAACTGAATAATGATACAAGTTCTATCGATCTGTCGGCCAGAGTTGCCAGATGAAAATTAGCGAAAAAAAAAAACAATAGATCATTGAATCTTAACAGTAGATTTTAGTACAGGTGGAAATAATTTAATTTACAGTGTAGTAAATAAAAAAAAAAACAAATAATTATATAAGAAACGAAAAATAAATTTTTATTATATACTTAACGTCAAGAAACAAAAAACTAATGAAAAATAATAGGTATTTCTTTCAGATCAGTCTAAATCAAATAATTGAAATACGTACATGCATATTCTTTTTATGTTGTCCTATTAATTCTTTGTTGCAGTTTAAATAAAAACAAACCTACAATAGTGGCTGCTTATTATGCTGCTTTTACTGCAGAAAATTTACTAGAGAAGATATTATTTAACCATTTGCTGAAGAATGAGACAAACTTAATAAATTAAGACCAAAATTTGCTAGAGACAAAAACAGTAGATCTACGTGAAAACAGTAGGTCTGGCAACGCTGATTGTTCCCTCGAATGGTTATCCCTGTAAATGTCGCGCGACACTTCTCAAGCTTGCGAAATATATGAAGCGTAACATTTATGCATCTGTCTTCCTACTCGACCTTGGGGTCGCTTCAGTGGTCGCTTGTCTCCTGACGCGCCTACCCAAATGGTACCTTAAGAGCTGCTCAGGCTAAAGATAAAAACCGAAAAAAATGTACACAGCTGATTACCGGCCTTCGTATGCTGGAAACGATGAAGTGATACGAAATGCAAGATATTTAAACATACTTATTTGTATTTTCGCAATCCCAATAAGAACATCGAATACTGGAGTCTGTAGGAATTTAAGCAGTTCGTATAGGGTGGTTTTGAATATTGAAACGGAATAACTTCCGCAGAGAGAGCAAATCAGAAAGCGGCGTAGAGTTAGGGTCGTTCTGACTTGAAAATGACTCGGGTTTCTTTTTAAGGAACTTAAGGAAATTAAATGGGACAGGTGAAACTGTGATACATATAAATCAGCTGTTAATCAGATCTTAAAAAGAAAACTAGCGGTTTTCCCAGCAAACAAACAAAAATTAAATTAGACCATACACTCCAGTTTTGACTCGGGTGCCTTTTATGGAAATTTGGTGAACAAATGACACTGTGATACACTTGAATCACTGTCAAACCAATCTCAAAAAATATTACCAGCGGTTTCCTAAAAGAAATAAAGTAAAATAATTTGAAAATTAACTAACCCGGCTATTTAACAACGTCTTTTTCGGATACCAAAACTAACTGGCAAAATGATTATAATAAATAGCTCTTACCTTGAGTTTCGGGGTGGTTGGTGCTACAGAATACTAAAGACGACTTTTTCGCGCTATATCAAAATTCTTTACCGTAGACGGCAGCTGAGAAAGTCGACGGTAACAGCAAGAAAAGAGAGGGAATTTTCATGCGCTCGCAAATTTATGTCTTATGAGCAATTCCTAGAAATCACCTCCAGTTCCAGTGTTTACAAGTAAAGAAATAACGGCATTTTGACACTTGCCGAATAAACCTACATAATCTACATGAAATTGACTGTTCAAACCCGAATTTGAATTTCGGTAAATACGGAAATATTTTAAACTACGAGGGCTCTCGCAAATGTTTAAAAAACGAGAATTTCCAGAAAAAAATACGAGGGCATTTCGGAACGTTCCCAGGTAGAAATAAATTATATAATAAAATACACATTTTTTTAATTATTTAAAAATAAAATTTAGTGACTTCGTCACATAGTCAAATAAAAATTCCGGCCAAATTGAAAAAAATACCATGTATATAGGTAATGAGGTAAGCCCATTATTAATGGATTATTTAGAATAATCCAAGTGTGCCATAGTAACAATTAAAGTATATACATTTTACTCTGAAACTGAAATTGTGCACGATTTTGTCCTGTATATATTTCATATGCACTTTTTTTCGATAGCACTTACCACGACGATGCTATTTCCCGAAAAGCGTCGCGACGCAGAGTTTTCATCCCTCCACCCCTCGATCGGCAAACCCCCGAGGTCGCAAAATTAGGTGTAGTATCAAGGGACTCATGTTTACCATCCCACCAAATTTCATTTCCTTCCGACCTTTTGCGAATAGACCCCCCTTATTCTTGGACTAAATATACATATTTATAACTATGTATCAGTCGTAGGTTAAATGTTACCCCAAAAACATACCACAAAGTAATAAAAATAAAATCTTGTTTCACTTATCTCCTAGTCCCTGAAGTCGACAGTCAAAAGATTTTGCCTGTGGCACTGTATTCATACGATGCAAAATCTCTGTAGTCACAGCAGATCCCAGTTAAACTCTGGTACCTAACAGTATCTTTAATACTTCAACATCGAACCAAAACGCTGGTTCCAAACACCGGATACAAATACTGAGTTCAAGTTCCATATCGTCCAGTTTCTTCTTTTTTTCTTTCGAATATTATTGGATCCGAAGAAATTTTAAGGTTATGTTTTCTAACAATTTTTAGTAGCGAGGCGTGTGCAGTGCGTAAAAAAAACGAAAATTGGGATCATATTTTGCAATATTGTGACAGTTCATTCAGGTAGGTGTAGTATTAAGTATAATTATGAACAAATATTACATGCGAGCAAAACGGCAAAAAATTTCATACCAAAACATTCGGCTAGTACGTAGTTTTTACGTAAGTGAAAGTGTAGTCTTTAGTTCAACTAAAAATGAACCTTTTCACATGCCAAATTCGGAGGCTCTGTTAGTGAATTGCAACAGTTCCTCTGAAATTGAAAATAATGAAACATTGGAAACACCACATATACATATACAATCATATCCATCAACGATTTATTGCTATTGGTTCTCTTGTAAATTGTGTATTACATCCTTAAATAATAAATGTTTGTTTTTTGCAGAAGCAAATAAGAGAGTGTGGAAAGTTAATTGCCGCATGGCTCAAGAGGGAGAAAAAGCGGCAAGATAGGACGCAAAAAAATCTCTTCCCATTCAAAAACATGATTTATAAAAATATTTAAAATGAATAAAAATTTAAATCAACATCTGTTTTATTCATAAAATATTAATCAATGTACCCTTTAAGTATCCTTTTAATAGCCTATGGATGTAGTGCAGTGTATATCCCGGGGATAAAGTATACGGGATATCCCGGGAATAAAGTATTGGGATATTCCAGGGATAAAATTTTAGGATATACCGACAACGTCTCGTTTTTTAATATCGTATATCCACAGGATGTACTAGTGATATCGCATAGCCGAAACCGTATATTCCAAGGATGTAGACTAATATCCCATTGGATATCCTCAGAATATCTCTGGTACCTGGGATGCCAGAGGGTGTAACTTCAATCAAAACGCAGACAAATCTGCTAAAGCCTTCTTAAAACCAGTGTACCATTCAATATACGGCCTTAACTACGATAGGCCTTCAATATGAGACTGCTAATACATCTATCAATAGGCTGAACTTCAAATCCAATTCTCCTCAAACACAAGTTAAAAAGCCGGCACTACAAATACCAACAACCTTAGACTAGGTCTAGTTCTAAGCTCCCAACTATAAATATAACCCCACTTATTTGAAATTCGGTATCCAACCAATATAATAAAAAAAAAGATTAATTGAGGTTAAGTGCTTATGAAAATTATGAAAAATAACCATGACAATTAAATCATGATCTCAGTTAACGAAATATGCTGTTTGTAAAGTTCATAGTTAACATTTACTACAAGGATTG